GAATAGAATTATTTGGAAGGGACTTTGGAGGTCGTCTAGTCCAACCCCCTGCTTAGGCAGGAAACCCTATAGGCTGAGAAACAGAGATGAGAACTGTGCCCAAGAGTCGGACAGGAGTGGACAGGAAAATCTTTACTTCTTAGAACTAAAGACAATGGGAGAAAGGGAAAGGAAAGGAATAGAGGAGATAGAGTGAGGGAGGGGGGAAAGAAATAAAAACAGAAACAAAAAGCAATGACTTCTGACTTTTTTCAGTACAGTAAAGGTAAAGATTCTCCTCGCACATATGTGCTAGTCGTTTCAGGCTCTAGGGGGCGGTGTTCATCTCCATTACAAAGCTGAAGACATCTCTCTGTGGTCATGTGGCCAGCATGACTAAATGCCAAAAGCGCACGGAACGCTGTTCCCTTCCCACCAAAGTGGTCCCTATTTTTCGACTTGCATTTTTACATGCTTTCGAACTGCTAGGTTGGCAGAAGCTGGGACAAGTAACGAGAGCTCACTCCGTTACATGGCGCTAGGGATTCGAACCGCCAAATTGCCAACCTTTCTGATCGACAAGCTCAGCGTCTTAGCCACTGAGCCACCACATCCCATTTCAGCATAATAATAAGATATAATACCAACTTTTTAGCCATACCAAATACTAGCCATTTCTATAGCAATAACCCACTTGGTTGTCAAAACCCCAAAGCTAACGTTTTATTTTAAGGTTCAAAAATGGTTTCCAAGTAACCAAAAAACTATTTACATTCTTATGCCTAATTAGCACAGTCAACTTCGCCATCTCCACCTGTTCCATCATCTTTTGAATCCGTTCCTCTATTGAGGGAGCTAACACTTCTTTTCATTTCTGGGGTGTATAAAACTATTGCAGCCATCAACATGTATAGCAATAAAGTTCCATTTCGCCACCCCCTCCCCATTTCTTTATCTAATACAGGTAGTCCTCGACTTACAACAGTTCATTTAGTGACCGTTCAAAGTTACAACAGCACTGAAAAATGTGACATGGGCATTTTTCATAGTTACAACCTTTGCAGCATCTCCAAGATCGTGTGATCAAAATTCAATGCTTGGCAACTGGTTCATATTTATGACCGATGCAGTGTACCAGGGTCATGTGATATTCTACTGCAACTTTCTGACAAGCAAAGTCAGTGGGGAAACAAGATTCACTTAACAACCATGTTACTAACTTATCAACTGCAGTGAATCACTTAACAGCTTTGGCAATGCAGGTTGTAATATGGGGCAAAACTCACTTAACAAATTCTCACTTAACATACATTTTGGGCTCAATTGTGGTCATAAGCTGAGGACTAAAAAATGGAATCCTAGAAAAAAAAGTTCCAGTTTCCAGAGTAAGTCCAAAAAAAATTGTTTTCTAAATTAGACCTGTACCTAATTTTTTTTTGCCTTGTCACATGTTTACCACAGGTGACAAAAAGTACTGTCCTTACAGTAGATTTATTTATGAATTTCTCCCTGAATTTTTAGTAATTTTCCTAGTACATTAGAAGCTCTGCCAGTCAAGAGTCTGGTAAGGAATTTGGTAAGGAAATATTTCTGAAAGGAGCACATAACATGAGGGAGCTCAGGGACTTCCGGATTGAGCCCTCCTCACTGATGGACCGTAGATCGTGACTGTCTGTGGCTATAGTCCGTGCTCTTTCACTGGAGAGCTCCGATCATTGCGATTAGGTGCTGAAGCTGCCTTGGAGGGGCGGTGGAGTAAGGGGAAGCCACAAGCCAGGTTGAGGGGAGCTGCATCTCCCTTCCTGGGCTTGGTCTTTTCCCCCCAAAGACAACTGAAGCGATGGTCTAAAATGGCCACCCCGAAGAGGACGACTCAGCTGGACTAAGACGTGTGCAGGAGGGAAGAAAGAGGTGGATAACATCTGAACCAGGACAATTGGGTGAAACAACTAAACAAAAAGTACCTCGGGATTCAGGTAACATTGAACTTTTAAGAAAAGAAAAGTGAACGGCGGAAATACATAGGGACAGGAAAAAAAATAATAATAATTTTGACAGCTAAGCGGGGCTTCGAACAGGGAAAGGAAGAAGCCAGAACTAAAGACTTAATTAAATTGGATTAAAATATTTCAGCAATAAACAGGCATAAAATAAAGCTGGACTTAAGATTGTCAAAAAATAATAATAATAAAATTTACAAATTGGAGACTGGATTGTGCTGGAATATTGAGGTTTGAAAAATCCTAAATAAAAAAATAGGGGAAAAAGGTGAGGATTTTGTATAACGGAGAGTGCCATCTTCTGGCAAAAATTTGAACTCAGACAAAAGGGAAAGCATCCTGTTTCTATATGAACTTGTGTTGATCTAATGTTAAAGAAATATTGAAACAAAGTAAGAATCTTAGAAAGCTGACACAGAATAAAGAAAGAAGCAAGGAAAGACTGATTGTAGGATTGATTGACGTTTTTGGTATAGACCCTGGGCTGGAACAACTGAGAACTTTAGAAAACTGGAAGAAGAAAGAAGGAGAGTAAAAGTGTTTTTTGTGGACTTCAACAATTATAAAATATAAGAGTGTGTAATGATGATATTTCTTCGCGAATTAAAAATAGAACTTAAAAATATGAGAGAATTACTACAGGAAAGAGGCGAATTATTTTTGCTCTGTGTTAGAAGAAATGGAAATGGCAATTGAAGAACAAGAAGAAAGAACTTTAGAGGAGGAGGAGGAGTCGATTCAAGGAGAAGCCATCTTAAATAGACAATTAACACAAAGAACACTACAAAGGTGAGGGGAAAGAAGGAAGGCTAAAAAGTTGAGATTTAAGAAGGTAATCAAAAAGGGGAATACCTGTGAAATTAGGAGAGGTAGAAAGATCCAGCAGAAAAGGGGAAAGGAAGATCTCAAGAAAGAGAGGGATATAAACCGGAATGAGAAAAGATATGGGAAAAAGAGGGGGAGGAGAGGCAGTAAGAAACAGGTGCATGAAATAAAGAACTATGTAAATAGTAAAATGATGAAAAGAAGTCGTTTTTTCAGAGATAATGGTTGATGAATTAAAAAGGGGATTCTGCAGGGTGACAAGGGGTAACAAGAATATATTTGCAATTAAAAAAAATACTTAGAAAATAGGGTAATATAGATTATTAAAGGATGGATAGATACTAATAACTTTTATTAGATGAATATATATCTTTATTTTTATTCTCAAAAGAAAAGTTAAGGTTTATTGAAGAAATTGTAATAATTGAAATGGATGTGAAGATGTTTAAAAATGAGGTTAATATCAGTGACCAGAAATTGAATAGCCAATTTTTTCCCTTTTACTTCTTTTGAAATTAGAAATAAAATTAAGGGGGGGAAATATGTTGTGGAATCCAAATGAAAAGATGCAATGATTATTATTGTAACTACTTAAAAATAATTGGAAATTAAGATGTGGGAATAAAGGTATATTTTAACCACTGAGGTGTCACACTCAAAGCAGTAAAAGGCGGGAAACCTATACTTGTTCTTTTTCTTTTGTGTTAAAACTTGTATTAACCTAGAATCTATAGAAAGAATGTGTGATGGAAAGAAAATATGACAGATTAAAGAACTATTTAAATTAATAAACTAATACAGACTATTAAAAGGAAGGAGAGACATTGGTAACTTTTTTTTATTAGGCAAACATATATTGTTACTTTTATTTTTAAAACAAATAATAAAGGATTATATTTGAAATAATTGAAATGGAATGAAAAGATGTTTCGATTGAGATTAATGTAAGAAACTAGGATTAATTTGCTTGTTTCTCTCCTTTCGGAAAGTTTGAAATGAAAAAGGTAATAATAGAATTAAGTATGCATATATGAATGTATAACTATTGTCATATTTGTATGTAAAAGTGATGACCCGGAAATATGTTGTCCACTAAAAAGAGCTTTTTGTTTTTATGTGAAAAATTGAATAAAATTTGTTTAAAAAAAAAAACATGAGGGAGCTCAGCATTCAGCTACACTTATCAGCCGTTTGTGGCATCACTCGATCATTTTTGTGATGGTTTTGCTGAAAACCAGCACCAACTTTTCTTTTTTGGCAAAACTGTGTCCAAAGTGAGCTATTGGATTGCTTAAAAGCTGCAGTGTTAGTTTAACTACAAAAGCCACTTCATGACTGCCACATTCACTTACCAACCACCACAAAAAAGTTCGTAAAATTGGATCGTCACAGTTTTTGACTGTCACAACCTATGATTGTGACGTGCTGGTTGTAAGTCAAGGACTACCTGAACTTAACAGTTTAACAGGATGAAGACCAATGGTGAGATTCAAAAAAATTTTACGATCAGTTCTGTGGGCGTGGCTTGGTGGGCGTGGCAGGGGAAGGATACTGTAAAATCTCCAGTCAAAGGTGGGATTAGCCAGTTCTCCAAACTACTCAAAATTTTCGCTACTGGTTCTCCAGAACTGGTCAGAACCTGCTGAATGCTACCTCTGATGAAGACGGGGAAACATTGCAAATCCATTTATATCCTGTGACACTGTTTTCCAGCACTCAGAGCAGGGAACAGATCCAGCTGCAGGCTTTCCTGTACAAGTAATCCTCAATTTACAACTTACAACCATTTAGTGACAGTTCAACGTTACAATGGCACTGAAAAAAGTTCACACTTATGACTGTTGCAGACTGTTGTAGCATCCCCATGGTCATGTGATTAAAATTCAAGTGCTTGGCAAGTGATTCATATTTATGACGATTGCAGCACCCCGAGGTCACATGATCACCTTTTGCAATCTTCTGACAAGGAAAGTCAATAGCCAGATTCACTCAAGGACCAGGTTATTAACTTAACAAATGCAGTGATTCACTTAACAACTGTGGCAAGAAAGGTTGTAAACTGGGGCAAAACTCACTTAACAACTGTCTCACTTAGCAACAGAAATTTTGGGCTCAATTATGGTCATAAGTTGAGGACTATCTACAGCATTTCTCAACTGTTCTGTTCTTCCTTTTCAATTCCTTTTTTCTGTTCAGGCCAACAAACTGAAGACACGCACTCAGCACAACACTCTCAATCCTGTGTGGAACGAGGCCCTCATCTACAATGGGATAACCGCAGAAGACATTGCTCGGAAGACCCTGCGGTGAGATAAAACCCACCCTTCTTGCTTCAGGTCTCCTGCCGCGCCTCCCTTCCCCTCCTGTGCTGTCTTCCCTCCACGTGATTCTCCCTTCTTCCTTTCTTGTTTCTGCCTCCCAGAATCACTGTCTGCGATGAGGATAAGCTGACCCACAACGAGTTCATTGGCGAGACGCGAGTGCCACTAAGACGCTTGCACCCTGGCCAAAAGAGACACTTCAACCTGTGCTTAGAACGGCAGCAACCGGTGAGAGCTAAGTCAAAGAAGGTTGTATAGCCTGCGATGACTCGGTAATTATCTGCATTTGATTCACTAGTGAGGCTTAGAAGTCCAGAGACACCTTTAGTTACTCTTCTTTGCTGGTCACTTTGGCTGTGTGCCACCCTCCCTCTTAAGATCCTGCCTTTCTCTAGAATTTGTGTGAGATTTCCCCCTGCCCACCCACCCGCCTGCCCCCCCAAACCCAAATATCTTACTTTTACTTGCATTTCACAACTATTTCTACCTTTTCACCAGTTGGAATGATCAAATATTCCTAGTAGAACAATGCAAAGGCTAGAAGAGACACAGAGCAATCTATGAGCCAATTTATTTCATAAATGAATAGCTGTGCCTGGTTTAAAGTTAAAAAAACAACAACTGGTGGGTGAGAGAAATGATTAATCATTAATTAAACATTTAAATAATTAAATGTTAGTCTTTGGGAGACAAATTTCCTCAACCCTTGCCAATGGCTAAAGAAAAATAGGCAAGCAACCCAAGCCACTTACAGCTCCCTACCATAGCCGGATGTGTTGTCCTGCAAACCATCATTCCATATCAGAGCAGGGAAATCTGCATTATAGACTCAATGCCATTCATAGAATTCAGTTTTCCTAGGGGCAAATTAACGTAGATTAATTTTTCCACCACCATCAAGAGCCACATGCACAAAATACGCATCAGTTCTAATGGGCCTATCATTAGATTTCTTCATCAGTTTCTCCCATTCTCCCTCACTTCTCCAAGGGGCCTTTTACACCCCTTGGCTTTGCTGGGGCCCTTGTTTATAAGTTCGCTAAATTCTCTCCTATCACAACAGCTGGCATCCCCTTCTTCCATGACTGCCGCCCTGCGTGGAATCTCCTGCTATCTGAGAGAGGTGAGAGTTTTTCTCCCATCTTACTCCCGCCCCAAAGACGGCACCTGAAATTCCTCAGCAGAAGGTTAGTCAGGGATGGACCACCTACTCTCTGCCAAAGGCTGTTGAGGGAACCTACCTGCTGAGGAGCAGGGCTGGAGCAGACCCCAAACAAAGCCACCCCTCTGTTTCTTCCCCTTCTCCTTCCCTTGCCAATTGGCAAAGAAACAAAGCTCATCCGTGCAAGTGATCTGAGCTTGTCACTTGCTCAAGAGTTCCTCCCAGGTCCTCCAATCACTCAAGTACTCGATGTGATGGCTCTCCCCCAATTTCCCCTCCCCCCCCCTTTCCCCCGCCGGCCCTCCCCCCCCCCCCCCCCCCCCGACATGAAGCTAGATTGAGGGCTGGTTTATGGCTGTTCCTGACAAGGGCAGTAGGCCAGAGAGAGGTTAGGAAGGGATTATCTTTGTAGCAGGAATTGGCAAAAGAAAGCCCACCCTTGAGATGACATCCCATGTCCAGTTTTCCAAATCTGATGCCTTCCAGCTATGGGGGAACTACAGTTCCCAGCTAGCATCACTGTTGACTCTGCTGGCTGAAATATTCCTTAGATGTTCCTCCCACCTATTTTCGTTCAGGAGTTCAAAGGGTGTATGCTGAATGCCCTCCAATAAACCTTTGGGGTACCTTGGGGTCACCTACTGAGCTTCTATAGCTGAGGTAGAACCTGGGCCTCCCTGCTCTTAGTCCAAGTCCTTAACCATACCTCACCCTGACATGTAGTTCAGAGCAGCTGGAAGACGCTAAAATGGGGAAGGCTGCCCTGGGCTCAAGGAATTCAAAAGCCCAAGGCTGAATGCAAGGCCTTCTAAACGTTTCACCTGGGTCTCAAAATATCCAAGGCCTAACTAAGGCCTAGTTCACACAACCAGCTAAGCCAAGGGTCAACAAGCCATGTTTAAGAGAGCAGACACTGTCCAAATTATCATTTTTAAAATGAAAAGAACCATAACAAATTAAAGGTAGTTATTGGTAGAGTTTATGTTTTGCCATTCGTGGAGGTCATGGTGCCTATAGGACCCCTGCAGTAATCCATACAATGCTTTACTTGGTTTGTGAACTCAGTTGTGGTGCTTAATAAACATGGATTGTGACCTAGCTAGCACTTTATGCAAAGCTAGGCCATTGTGGTTTATTCAGCAAGGCATGGTTAAAAAAAAGAAAAGATGCTTGTGAACCCAGTTGCAAAAGTTTGTTTGGGAAGGCCTAAGGGTGGGCACTTGACGCAAAAGCATTCAATAGCCTTTCCTTTCCCCCACTGCATAGTTGGAACCCCCAGCTGGCTGGGCCCTGGAAGAAAGGGGTCGCATCCTGCTCGCCCTCACATACATCTCCGAACGTCATGGATTACTGGTGTCTATTCTCCGCTGCGCCCACTTAGCTGCTATGGATGTATGCGGCTACTCGGACCCTTATGTAAAAACGTGAGAAATGCGCACAAACGAAGGGAAGAGAGGGGTTCTAATCCTTGGTTAAGATCAACCGTGCTTAAGGATGGTTGGGGAAATGGGAAGAAGTCTATAGAGTTTGGGGGAGGGAAGGAAAAGATGTAATTTAGTCTCTCCCGTGAGGCTCTTTTCTTTAGCCTTCAGTCGATCAAGAGACCATGTGTAATGTTCCCATTTGGGAAAGCTTTTAGACTCGCTTTAATAACTCTGGAATTAATGTTCGAAGATGACCCATTTGCTGTAGTCATTTTGCATTTTCTCCCGGTGCTTTGGATTTATGACTTCTTGTTGAGTTTTTATGGTGGCACTTTAGCACCGCTGGTTGTTTTCCTGAGAAGGGCAACTGTTTTTATGTACGGGCTTAATCTCCCACTCTCCCGTTCCCTCTTCTTCTCTCTTCCGGCAGCTACCTGAAGCCAGATGAAGAGAAAAAATCAAAGCATAAAACAACGGTTAAAAAGAAAACTCTCAACCCTGAGTTCAACGAGGTAAATGAAGAACAGCCAAGAAAGGCACTATGTGATTGGGGGGAATGAGGGGGGTCTGATCCTATACATTCCTAACTTTTAATACTTATCTGCCCCATTGCAGGACTTTTTCTATGAGATTGAACAGTCAGATCTTGGTCATAAATCCTTGGAAATCACCGTTTGGGATTACGATATTGGGAAATCAAATGACTTCATTGGTGAGAAGATGGAAGAGGATAATCTAGTTTTAGGGAAGGGTTGTGTAATCTAGCAGATGCTGGGTGTGTTAATCTGGATTGAAAGCCTGGGATTTAATTCTACAAGGATATGAGGGGTCCTTGGTTCTCTCCTGAGCTTGGTTGTTTTCTTACAGACGTTTCATTATCCAAACTAGATAACATCAGTGATGTTACCTGATGATGGGTAGTACTGATAATGTTACCTAGTCTGGGTAATGAAACATCTGCAAGAAAACAACTAAGCTCAGAGAGTACCAAGGACTCCTCATTTCAAACCTGATCTACGGATATTCTCTTTATTGGTCTGTAGCACAGGTCTCCAACCTTGGCAACTTTAAGACTTGTGAACTTGAATTCCCAGAATTCCTCAGCTGGCTGGGGAATTCTGGGAGTTGAAGTCCACAAGTCTTAAAGTTGCTGAGTTTGGAGACCCCTGGTCTATAGGGATAGCCAGGAGTCTCTTGCTCATTCAGAAAGTTCTCAGAATTCTTCTTAAGATGCTGAAAGAAAAGTCCTAACAGTTACACTGATAGTAAGGCTAGAGAATGTCACAGAAGTGATATCTTTTCAGTGGAGCCTTTTCTTGGTGCTCCCTGAGTTTGGCTCTTTGCTTGCAGCCATTTCATTTACAAACATCAGATGATGTTACCTACTTGGGCAAAACTTCATCCAATGATGTTGCCTAGTTGTGAAACAACACAACTGCAAGCAAACAACCAAGCTCGCAGGTCACCAAGAATTCCACAACTCCAGCTTGAGCTACAAATATTCCTTTCTACTGGATGTTTCATCAGCCAACAGGAGAACCAACAGGGACTGCATTTGCAGACTCACAAAATTAAAAAAAAAAAAAGAATATCCAGAATATCTCAGGAGAATTTGAGGCTGGGATTTCCAAACTTCATAGCCTCCTCCATTCTATAGAAATATTTTTAATTTATTGCAGGGGTAGTGGGGCGGGCTGCGGTATCCCTGAGATCTGCCTGATGACAGGTCTAGCAAAAAGGCAACTCCATAACCAGCAGCTCAGAAACTGCAAGAACCTCTTGTCTCATTGCAGGTGGAGTGACCCTGGGATTAGGGGCCAGTGGGGAGTGCCGGCAACACTGGCTCTCATGCCTCCAGACCTCTGACTGCCGCCTGGAACATTGGCACACTCTCACCAACGAGCTCCCAGAATCCTCCACCTTTGGCCCTTGAAGCCCTCGTGATCCCACAGAACTACACCCTTCTATCTTGCCTGCCTGCCAAAAAAAAAAAAAACCAACCAGAGGGGCCCAGCACCCAAAGGCCCCTCTTTTGCACGAGGACGTTTGCACGTTTCAAAACTACTTGTCGTGGGGGACCATTTATGCTATGCTCTAGGGAGGCACTTACTGTAGACGGAAGGCCACACGTGAGGGATTGGGGGAAGAAGGGCTGGAAAGCCGAGAAGCGCAGGAAGCATCCGACGGGCAGCCATTGGAATTGCTACGTGTCCCAAGCGAGCATCAGATGGGTAAAATCAAAAATAATCCCTCTGCCCTTCCGGTCTTTTTCTTCCCCCCCTCCCCAGCTCTTTTCTCTCACCTTGTAACCTAAGAGTGGTTGTGAAATGCTTCTACTTTTATACAAATTATTGCTGGCTGCAAAACCCTATTTTTTTAACCTTTCAAAAGGAACAAACCAACCGGTCAAAAGGATGAAGTAATTTCATTTTAAAGTCCCCGATATTAATATTTTTTTCTTTTCTTTTTTTCCCCATGGGCTCTTGCTTCCTCTTAACTTAGAAATGTCAGTAGCAATTAACTGTAGGTATTTCTGCACCATAAAAAAATAAGCATCTGCATTGATTTTCCATATGGCTCAGTTCTTCTAATTAAGTTGCTATCTTCAAATGCATGCTGGCTCAAGCTATGCATTCTTTTTTATTTGTGTCAAGCTTTCACCCCGTCCATCCTATTGCTTCTAAGAGGGTCAGGCAAACAATATGGTCCTCTTTATTTGCTTTAAGTTCAATGCTCTGCTTTTTCCTTCACATTGGCAAGCTATTCGAATCTGAAAAGATTCTGGGCACATTGAAAGCTGGGGAGGGGAAAACCAAAAATGTCAAGTCTGAAAGGAGAGTAGAGACAGAGCTTTAGAATAGCACACGGAGGAACACCAGAATAAAGAACCACAATTTTGGGTGAAGTATAAGTCTACCAACACATCTGAAATTCACATTACCTTTTCTAACACCCCCATTAAGGTGCTGCCTCGGGTTTAACCGGCAATCGATAACAGATACTTCTCGCTTTGATTTGTACCATGAGTCTCCTTCTTGTAAATCTTTTTTTTTTCCATTTTTGTTTTATAGCAAATTATTTGCATTAATCTCTTTGAATTTCATCTTCATAGTTTCAGGGCAGTTTTCCATTGAGTTTTAATTGCACCATTCAGGTGGCTTAACTATAAAACTTGCAGTTCTATTAAGACTTGCAAGCTTATTAAGGATTTTATCATTATATCATTGCCAATAATAAATTGGCAGCATCATATCTCATGTCTGTGTTTTACAGGAGATTTTTTAAAGTTTTCCAGTCCTGAATGCACCAAACAGTGGGAGCTCACACACACTGAACATGCTTGCCAATCTAAACACAATAGGGGACCAATCACCAAATTCCCAAGTGCCATTAAGGTAGTGAACTAGGAAAATAATTAAGGTTAATGTGAATCAGTCTCAAATTTGACATGCTGTTTTCAATGTGCCGCTTCTCAGGAGGCCTAGAGACTCTATTACTATGTTTTAGTGAGTTCCTGATATTGTTCTAGAAAACCGGGGTGGGGGGTGGGGGGGTATTCCTTTTTTCCCTCCTATGGATCTCTTCTCCTAATACCACAATCACACCCCATGTTTTCTCAAAAGTTCAGAGAACACTTGTCAATATACCTTAATGGGCAATTCATCCAATCCACTGAATCAAGCTAGAAATGTTCTCACCCTCTGTATCAATTTTGAATGGGACTCATGCTACTTAAAGCGGTTTTCTCTAACTTTGCTTCGGACCAATGGGATTGGGAAGGTATTTTTTTAACCAATCAAGTGGCATCCCTACTATTTTTCTCTCCTTCCCCTAATATAATCTCTATGATTCACTTACATTTCTGGACTACCTACCGTTCTTCTTTCCGTAATTCTGTGTTTCTCCCCAAAATGTTCAGCAACCTCTTCAATGTTATTTTCTGCGCAGCCACCTGGTTTTCTCAATATCTGCTGCTTTTCTGGAATTGCTTGCAATTGTGCCTTTTTAGATGTTCCTCGTTTAGAATGTAAACACAACCAGGTTAGCCATCATATGTTTACAGAACAGGCTCTGGACACTCCTAACCTGGTTTGGGGAAGGGGTTTGTTAAAAGTTAGCAAGAGTTGAGGGGCCTGACACATGTACGGGGCTAGTTCTGCCTTCCTTTTAGCCTGAATAGCTTGAACAGATCTATCACAGGCAACCAAGCTGGTGATTAAAAGCAGAAATCAACGTTAAATGCAGAAATTACCATTTAGCTTATTCTTATTTTAATCACTATGTGAGCAGGAGGGTGGGGGAGAATTACCAGTTGAGTTTTCTTCCCAAGGGACCAAAATATCTTGGACCCCCTCAATTAAAACCACTCACTTCCTCTCTGAACAGCCTAGCTGTTCAGCAAGAGACACTCCGTCCTCAAGTGACAGATCTGTTTGCTTTGTAAGATGTGAATCAACGCTGAAAGAGAGGTAGTGTCTTCCATCTGTGTTTATACACAATTGTTTCACAGCCAAGTAAAGTGAGTGCTTTCATTTCTCTTACAGCTGATTCACCCATGTGGCCTGAGAAATATTCTCTTCTTTCAACTGATAAAAGATTCTTCTTTTTTTTTTCTTTACAATTTTTATTAGAGGACTCTTTCTTATTGTATTCCCACCAGCACTAAAAAAAAAAAATTCTGTAGTAAAAATAATGAAGCACTGCAACGAGTAGCAACTTGTGGAGAAACCATCTGGTAAAATAAATTAAAAATGCAATTACAAAACATGGGATGTTTTCAGCTCAGTTAGAACTGTCACAAGCATTTTGAGGGTTAAACTGCACTTAAGTTGGGCGAGGAGAAGTCATAGATGAACAATTTTACACGTGCAGTAGAAAAACTCCTGGTTATTGCTCTCTCTTCCCACCTGGACTATGGGTGGTCCTCAATTTACAACCACAGTTGGACCCAGAACATCTGTCATTAAGTGACGTAGTTGTTAAGTAGGTTTACCTTTTTCATTGCAGGAGTTAAAGCAAATCACTGTAGTCATTAAGTGAATCGTATAGTTGTTAAGTGAATCTAGCTTCCCTATTGCTTGTCAGAAGCCAACCAAGAAAATTGCAAACAGTGGTCACCTGACTCTGGGACACAAACTGTCATAAATACCTGCCAGTTGCCAAGTGCCCAAATTCTGATCATGTGACTGTGATGGTTTTAAGTGCAAGGACCAGTTGTAAGTCATTTTTTTCCCCAATGCCCTTGTAATTTTTGAATGGTCACTAAACAAATGGTTGTTAAGTCGAGGACCGCCTGTAGATCTGAAGCACTTTTTTTTTTTAAAGAATCCCTTGAATTCTTGAGAACTTTGTTTTCTTTTGCAGCAAAAGAGAAATTTTGCTCTACCTCGTCAACGGATGTTAATTATATTTCAAGCAGATTTTTTTCTTTACCAGTGTGTAAAATGACGGCAAGTCACACAACAGGGTCAGGGAACGTCTCGCCAAACTGTTAGTAGCCCAAGGATTTCAGCAAAGGAAAGGAACACAGAGGGTGAAAATTGCAACCGGATGCTTTTAATACAAAAACAAAATCCCCTTTATTGACTGTTTTGCATGTTTTTCCCCCCTCCTGAGTCTGTAAACAAAGAAATAATAAAAGGGAGGGGAACCATCCCCCTCACACACAACTGAGAGGCCTGTGTCCTTTCAAATTTACGCGCCTGCTTTGCCACCGTCACTCAGGGATGTCAATGACCAGCTCATCGTCACCATCCAGGGGGTCTTCGCCGCTTCCCTCTCCTGCATCACTGAACATCTGGTGGGGCACCGTGCTGAGGATTGTAGGGGGTGGCAGCTTGGGAGTCCCTCTGGGTGAAGGAAAAGGTAACCCCACCACGACGGAGGAACAGTCTGAGTGGGAGGCTGGGGGCAGCGGGAGCTGCAGACGAGAAGAGAGAGAGAGAAACTGAGGCAGATGTTGGATCTTGTGGCTTTTTCTTCTTTTTTCCTCCTCGCCTTCTTTCATGGAGATCTGCCTTTTCACACCCTGACCCATGATGATGCTTTGGTTCTTTGTCCAAATCCAACCACTGACATTTGTTAAGCATGGTTTTATATGTCTTAAGTCAGAAGTCTGCAAACGTAGCACCTTTAACACTTGTGGACTTCAACTCCCAGAATTCCCCAGCCACTATGCTTAAAGTCTTAAAGGTGCCAACTTTGACGACTTCTGGTTTAAACATAGGGTTGAGCCATTCACAACCCACAAACCACATGAGATCCACCATGTCCCTCAAGAGCACCCCAAAAATACGCAGCGCCAACAATGCCCCCACCATTTTTCAACAGCTATGGACTTAAGGGGTAACATGGGTGCCTTAGGGTCATATGCCCCTGAAATTTCCCCCATGAGGCGGAACAGTTGTGTGCCCAGTAATCTGAATGACCACGTTACTACTAGCAACACCTCTACAGCTCCTGGCTTCGCAATGAGTTCCTTGCCTTACTTTTCTCTATGGGCCACTTAATGCAGGTTTAATGTACCGTATTACACAAACGTATCCCAGTATTTGTGAGCCCAGTCGTGAAGATGCAAGGCACGGTAAAAAAAAAAAAAACCTCCATAAATCGATAAGATTTTTTTCTCACAACATAATGCTGAATGTCTTATAAACCCCTGAAACCCAATCACATCTCTGCTTTCATTTAGAAAATTTTTATGACTGCAGCCCAAAGCACGCGAATCAAAGGCAAGTCTGGATGAGTGAATATCTGCTGTAGGCGTGTAGTATTATTCACATAATGTTTCATAGAAGCCTCAAGCCATGACAGCATAAGGGTTCAAAGTTAACTTGAAGTTTGAAGCATAGATGCATCTCGTTTCTTTTATCATAGCTTATTCGCTCCGCTCAATCAGGGCAACTTCCCTAAGAAATAAAAGTTTTTCAGTGTTTGTTTGTCAGCTGAAACACATCTGACCTTGCACATTCATCTCACCCCCGCCCATAGAGGCAGCCCTCGTCTCCATCCACCCCAACCACCTTCTTTGAGGTACCTTGAGCATGTGGGGCCTTGCTGGCCGCCGGGCAGAGCGAGTGGCGTTGCTGTCAGGCTGGGGGGCAACAGGTTCGGGCCCCAGTGCCAAGTAGTCAGAGGGGAAGGGAGCATAAGTGGGTGAATTCAGCTGGGTGGAAAAGGGATGGCAAGAGGGAAGAGATGGAATAAAAAAAAAAATCAAAATATGAATGTTGATCAGGTGATTCTCCCCGGTTGAGGAGGGTTGTATTAAACTGTGATCCGAACCCATCTGGAGGACATCTAGCTAGGAAAAGCTAAGATATTGTCTTCACACCAGTAATGGACCGATTTAGTGGCAGTCCAACTGGGCCCCTTCAGATGGCCAACGTTCTCTCCACAACCAGCCAACATGGGTGTTGGTGAAGATGAGGAGCATGATAACATTTGGATGGCGCCAAGTTGCAAAAATCCATCTTTTTTCCTCCTTCACAGCCCAACTGGATCCTTCCAGAGTATCCCAATTTCTCCCAATTTTCCGCACTAGCCCTGAATCTGGAATCCTATGGCTTTTCTGTGGCACAATCCCTGCAAGGAGGAGGTTGGTCGAAGAAAGGAATGGTTTGTTTCAAAGCCATCTATTTTAACAGCACATTTTAGCAAAAAATTCCATACATAAATTACAGGAAAAGGACAATGGGACCTATCCTGAATGTCCTGAAATTTGTATCGGGCAAGGAAATCACCCAGCTCCTAGAAAAAAAGGTTGCCTCTCAGAACCATGCATAATTTGATCAACCTCAAATGCAAATATGGGGAATTACAGAATCCTAAACGTTTATTGATATGTCACAATCTTGATGGATCATTCATGTACAATGGATGATTTATTGCCAGCCAATTATAAAAGTTATTCAAAACACTACTTTCTGGGCCTCAGATGCTATATAATGTCACATTAAGTGTTTTGCATTCCTTCTGTGTTTTAATTTTTATATTCCTTATATAGTTATTCGAAGTTTTCTTTGTTTAGATTATTACACTCATTTTAAGTATCATATCTTCTCTTTTTAACAGTGTTCCAGACTTGGAAAATAATAAATAAATAAATTCCAAACAAACCTCAAATCTGGTTTCTTAATTATTTTTTTCCCTCAACGGTATGGAAACCCTTCCAAATGCTTGGATTCTTTGGTGCCCTCTTTTTAACCACTTGTGGAAATAGTTCTCCAGAGTCATCTTTTTTTCTGAGACGTTATACATCCACAAATATATCCCGAAAGACAGATTAACACAGACTATCGTTCTCTACATGTTTTCATCCAATTTGTATTACATGGGCCACCCAGGGTTTCCAGATCCCTAGTCAAGATAATGAATTCACTCAATCTCAGTCAATGACCAATACATAATAAAACTCATAGTAAATACAGTGAAACAGGTTACATGAATAGGGGTCAGCGCAGATTATAAAATTAACTGGATTTATCTGCCACACTTAACCTAGCAGAATTACATGGATTTGAAAGTAAAAAAAAAAGTAAATACAACCAGTCAGAATGACCGGAAAAATTATTGAGATGTGGGGTTATCGACCTGAAGATGTATCAGCATAAAATAGGGAATATCAATAGACATATTTCATGGCTTCAAAGACCTCTTTCATGCATGGGCAAACTTTTAATTTAAACGAGATTTCCTTGTATTCACTTAGGATGGACTTTCAATCGTACCAGGGAGATTAAACGCCCTTCTACAGTTAAGGAATTTAATTTGGTTAAAGAAGGTAAAGGAGCTAATTCGAAATTGATCCTTGGAAGAGATCCAGGCCTAATCAAATATTAGCATCGTAAATCCATCAAAGCCTTTGTTGCACACATTTGATCAAGTGCAGAGAGTTAAAGAAAGTCCAAAGAGTTTTTTAATCTATTCCTTTGGGCTAGGATGAAACAAAATTATCACGAAGTTCTATACTTGAGTAAATCATATTTTGGCCCAGTGTGTAAAAATACAAACAAATATTGGTCTTGATCTAACTCAGGCTGACCTACAATGGAAGAATTGCATTTGAGACACAGCAAGGAGTTGCCAAATTTGAAAAACCGGGTAAAAGTAGGGTTGAAACACTGCAACGCATCTCAGGGTCTTTTGTGTGAGAAAATGCATCATTGTGTCATTCTCCCCATTGTCTCCCTGCAGCCTTCAGATGATCTGGGACAACAGAAACATGAAATCCCCTCAGTCCAAAAAAGTGCAAAATTTAAATCTTTCCAATGCTTGGGAAGGGAACCAGAGATGCAGAAACAACTTACAGCTCTTCATTTAGGCGTTTTTTAAAAAGCAATTTATTTCAAAACATATTAGAATCATGTGCTATGTTCTTCCAGGCATCCAATTATCATTGACTAAGATAAATGGAGGCCTAATTTTTATGCCTATGTTCAGCACTAAGCGCTTGGAAATAATAAGGTGAAATGGAAGTGACATGGAAACCAAGCTAAAAAGGAAAAAAATGGGATGAAGCCAAAGCCTTGTGATATAAATATTAGTTGGGTTAGCCGAACAAGTAAAACTAGTAGAGTCCCAGCACCCGCAGTTGTAAAAACATGCTAATCTTGGTTGTGGGAAGTGGGCTTCTGGCTTAGAGTGCTATTTGTGAACTCAACCCACTTGGGAGTTTTTCCATTTCAATGATTTGTGCAAATCAAAACATGAATTAATGAAATAACTAAGGGAAGGAATTACACTGGGCAAACTCAAGCATTCAGTAAATCTTGATACTAAGGTGCCCTTTGGGGACATATGGAGCAGGACTATTAGGTGTGTAGTATTGGGGTTGGGTTTTTTTTTTTTCTTAGCAAACTCAGCAGTCCCACTCCAACACAACCATGCTAAGAGCATTGCACACACAGAAAACCCTTTATTTCAAATTTGAGTCTAGGAAAACTGAGGTAAATAATGGCTTAGAATTCTCCTTGCTATCTGATTTCAGGCTATATTCTCTTATTCCTCAGGTAATCTGGTTGAAAGTTTGTCCAAAGTTCACTGAAAATCAAGGGGGTTTTTTTTGACTTAGTTTCTTTACAGGTAGTCCTCGACTTACCATTCCGAAAAAAAGTGACTGATTACTTTTTTCATACTGATGACCACTGCAACCTCTCCATGGTCATGTGATCAAAATTTAGACGCTTAGAAAATGGTGTGTATTTTTGACGGTTGTGGTGTCCCAGGGCGATATGATCACCTTTTGCGACCTTATGACAAGCAACATCAATGGAGAAGGCAGATTCCCCATTAACAACTATTACTACCTTAACAATTGTAACAAATCATTTAACAACTGTGGCTAGAAAGATTATAAAAGGGGGCAAAACTCACTTAACAACTGTCTTGCTTAGTGACAGAACTTTGGTGTCACTTAGCAATGGAAATTTGGGGCTTAATTTTGGTTGTAAGTTGAGGACTACCTGTAATAGATTACAACTTGCAACGCTTCAAACCAGCAGAGTCGAAGCAAGAAGAGATCTGATCCGACCCAGCTGAAGGAAATCAGGCTGGGGAACCCTTAGTCTCTGTTAAGTCTTTTCCCAGCTTCGGAGTCCATTTTGGACAATTATCTCCTCAGCCTTATTACCCACATGGAGGCAGGATTACTCACTGAGGCTAAGTAGGGCGATGATGTCCCTGAAGCTGGAAGTCCAAAACCAGATGTTGGCTGCAGAGAAAGACCTGAGGAAGATGGTGATGAGGCACTGCCAAGCTGGGGGCTGTGTTTTCTGTGAGCAGAAAGAGATGCCATGGATGAACAGCAGCCAAAAATGTGCTCCATTGAAACAACCTGTCTTGAGTACGTGGGAACGATCCATTGGGCTAAAAGGTATTCTTTCAATAAGACAACAGGCACAAAAGGCCCCTTGAATTATGAAGGAATTTAGCTCATGACTGTGCTAAGCCATGCAGCTACAATGGAGAACATCTTCAGAAAAGGCAGGCACAGTCATACAGCTCTGTGTTTTAATGGTTCAACTGTGGAGGTGGTTAGTAGTACTAAGTTTTGGGGTGTGTAGCTGACAAGCAGGTTAGCTTGGTCACTCATTCAGTGAGACAATGTTGAAGCAGGCACAACAGCACCTGCATTGTATGAGAAGAACACATCTTCCTTCTCCTGTCCTTATCACTTTCTATAGAGGGACAACTGAAAGCAAACTTTTGTACTGTATTACTGTTTGGTTTGGAAGTATTACTGTTTTCAGACAGGATGGTCATACAGAGAGTGGTGAGGACAGCAGAAAAGACTATTGGAAGCTCGCTTTTTCTATCCGGAATATAGCATATAAGCGCTGCTTGATCAGGGCCTGCGGTATTGTCAGGATGCTACACGTCCTCTCCATGACGGATTTTGTTACCTTCTGGCTTCATGGTACCCGAAACAGAACATCTAGATTTAGTCACAGCTTTATTCCATATGGTATTAACCTTGTGAACTTTCAAGACTCTTTTTTCTGCTAATATATTCAAAATGGACCATGATTTATTTATGTGTGTGTGTGTGTGTGTGTGTGTGTGTGTGTGTAATCTGGAGATACACAGTATATGGAGATAGATAGATAGATAGATAGATAGATAGATAGATAGATAGATAGATAGATAGATAGATAGATATGGATGGATATGGATATGGATTCTTCTTTTGAGAGTGAGCATCAGAATTTCATTTTAATGCATGCCAATGTATGTACAGAAAAGTGACAATAAAGGTTATCTTATCTAGCCCAGTTTTTCTCAACTTTGGCAACTTGAAGATGGGCAGACTTCAATTCCCAGAATCCCCCAGCCAACTCTAGTCGCTAAGCCCAGTCTGCAGGCCTAATCTGGTCTCACAAGACCATCTCTTTCACCTACCACTAGAAGATTGTTTAATGAAAGTCACTGTTGAAAATATTCAAGAATTCTACCTCTTTTCTCTGCTAAAGAAAGCAGCTCCTTTAGCCTCAAGTAGCCATTTATCATCTTCTATTTTTGCATCTATCCTGAAGCCCACCCCGTACTCACCTCTTGAGGGACTGAGGCTCCGTCCCTTTCGGCATCTCTCCATCACTGTTGTCTGAGGAGGCTGTTGCTTCCGAATCTGATTTCGGAAAAATAAAATCAGACAGTCATTCTACCTCCTTCTGCCAGAGAGTGCCAGAGACTTCGCAAAATGCTGCCATGTGCATTTGCGTCATTTCCTGGTGATGTTAGTCATCCAGGTTGGGCTCCCCAGCGATTTTCATGCCTGAGAAAGGAACTTTCAAATTTTCTGGATTCAATGTCAAAATACAGGTAGTTCTTGATTTATGATCACAACCGAGGCTAGAATTTCCATTGTTAAGCAAATGCGATGCACCCAATTTTATGATTTTTGTCACAGTTGTTAAGAAAATCACTGCTGTTGTTAAATGAATCATGCGGTCTTTAAGTAAATCTGGCTTTGCTTGCTGGATGCCAGCTGGGAAGCTCATAAATGGTGATCACATGACCCCAGGACACTGCAACTATTGTGCATACATGCCAGATGCCAAGCAACCCGATTTTGATCAGGTGGCCACAGGGAATGCTGCCCCAGTTTTAAGAGCGAGGACTAGTTGTAAGTCACATTTTTCAGTGCTGTTGTAACTTTGAACGCTCACTAAATGAATGGCTGTAAGTCGAGAACTAACTATATTGCACTGACTCCCTTTTCAGACACCAAATATAGCTCTTTGCATAGAAATCCACTTTTTCTCAGCTTGGCCCTGCAAACTATCCTGTGAAGCAAACACTTCTATAAACCATGTTTACTGAACTATACACCATCCTAAGTATACCATGACCCTGCCTGAATTCTCGGATACCAAAATCTGCATTTAGTTACACTTCTAATTTGCATAATTCTGAACAGTCAAAGTATGTTTTGGAACAAGTCACTCATCCAATTTATTTATATTTCACTTTTTGCCAGCAAGCTTGCTCTCCTAACTGAGGTTATCAGAGATACCGCAACAGACCCATTTGCAACAAAATGAAGACGTCTCCAAAATAACATCAACATTCAATTTCTAGCCATTCATCTTTACAGAGACAACTTTCAAATAAAGAATGTCATGGGTCATTTATCCAATCTAGTCAAAATCAGCAAGGGGATGAGCAGCAAGAAAAATGTAGATAAATTAGTATAATAGGGAGGCTTCACTGGGCAGCTAAAAACTCCCCCGGCAATTGGATATTAAAATAAAAAGCCAATGTCAGCCAAATATAAAATATGATAGAGAAATAAAAGTGCTTAAGAATAACATGTCCTGGAGGAATCAAATATTAACAAGTAATCAGCAGCCAGATCCTCAAGGAATATAGCAATTAAATTTTAATTTTTATAAGCACCAATATAAAAAGATGCTATGTGTAGGAGAATTGGAAAAGAGGGAACACTCACACCAACTCAAAGGAGGGGAAAACAACCCAGAAAAATTAACAACAAAGTGGTTCATGTATCTGCACATAAATAAATTTCCTTCTGCATGAAGAGAGATAGCAGCTTCAGTGTTAGGCTAGAATTTGGTTTTCCCGAGCTAATAGGGCTAAGAATTTTAGAAGTTGTAGCCCAGGGTTTCTCAATCTTAACAACTTTAAGAGGAGTGGACTTCAACTCCCATAACAGAAAGTCCTCTTAAAGTTGCTAAGGGTGATAAATGCTGTTGTAATCCATACTTAGGGAAGGGATCAGGTTAGGGAAAGGCTCAGGATTAAACCTCAACCAGGGATATCTATTTGTATGCCTGCTTGTACAGCTAGTCCTCATTTAATCATGACTTGTTCAACAACCATTTGAAACATACAACAGCACTAGAAGTTAGTTGCGGCTGGTCCATGTATCTACAAGAAGTTGCATGTGCCTGTGGTCATGTGATTGCAATCCAGGCACTTGGCAGCCAATTCACAATTACGCTATCGCGGCATCCACAATCACATGATTTGCAACCTCCTCTGCCAGCTTCTCATAGTCAAAGTCAATGGGAAAGCCAGCAGGAGGTAAGAAGTCCCATAAAGCAGAGTCCTTGCTTAATGACCTGCAGGGTCCTCACTTAATAACAGCAATCAGGACTGCTAAAACTGCTATCAGTAAGCGGTACAATCATATGGGGTTTTTTGATTTGCAGCTATGACCGGGTTTTTAATCACAATTGGTGTTCTTAAGCAAGGACTTCCTGTACACCTTTGCATGATTTTTAGAAACACAACTACTTGTTGAACCAATGACTCTAGTCCACCTTGAGATGATTTTTAAAAGCCAAGCAGACATAATAGCTACGTAGGCAATCCTCAATTTACAATGGTTCATTTAGCGACTGTTCAATGAAAAACGTGATTTAAGACCGCTTTTCACACTTAACCCTGTCTCAAATTTATGACGGTTTGCAGTGTCCTGGGATTCACATGTTCACCTTTTTATGACCTTCTGACTAGCAAAGTCAATTGGGAAGCCAGATTCACTTAACAACCGTGTTATTAACTCAACCACCGCAGTGACTCACTTAACAACTCTGTCAAAAAAACCATAAAACAAGGCAAAACTCTCTTAACGACTGTCTTGCTTAGCAGAAGAAATCTTGGGCTCAATTGTTGTTGTAAGCCGAGGTCTACCTATACTCAAGGATGTTTTCTGCAATATGTAACTATTAACCAATGCCATCTTCAGCCAGAATAAAAAAAAAATCTACCACTGTGGATTTGCCCTGCTTTGATTCCATAATATTTAACAGCAAGTAAAAGGTCCATATTCCAGTGGAATATGGACCACTTTTATCTTTAAAAAATAAACTACAAATGATTATAAGGATATCAGATTTGGTTCAGATTTATACATTTGATGTGAAATCCTTTAACCTACCAGGTCATTATTTTATTCTCTTCCAGCCTGAATAGGTGACATTATATCCACAACAGCCAAATTAATATTATTAATCCCCTATATAAAGAAAGAAAGGGAAATCCTCCCCTTTCTTGCAGCACCATCAAAGGGAGGTTGTGAGCCTCACTTTACCTGAGGAGTCTTCATCCACATTCTCGTACTGGAGCAGGCGATCAAGCAGGAAACTAGAAAGAGGAAATAGGTAGGAAAAAGCAGTGGCTCAGACCTGAGGCTTAATGCTTAGGAAGAGGCGGAGGCCTTAAGCTGGCTCCAAAGATTTGCCGTTTTTCTGGCCCATCCTCTATTTCAGGGCAGGCATCCAGAATCGAGCTGCAATTATTCCTTGGCAAAAGAAAGACCTCTGCACATAAAGATAGTTCTTGACTTAGAACAGTTCGTTTAGTGACCATTCAAAGTTACAAAGGCGCCGAAAAATGTGACGTGGCCATTTTTCATAGTTATGACCATTTCAGCATCCCCACTGCCGCATAGTTACAACCATTGCAGCATCCCCTGTGATCAAAATTCAGGCGCTTGGCAACGGATTCGTGCTTATGACCTTTGCAATGTCCCTGGGGTCTTGTGATCCCGTTTTACAACCTTCTGACAAGCAAAGTCAATGGGGAAGTCAGATTCACTTAACAACCATTTTACTAACTTATCCACTGCAGTGATTCACTTAACAACTGAGGCAAGAAAGGACGTAAAATGGGTCAAAACTCACTTAACAAATGTCTTGCTTAGAACAACAGAAATGTTGGGCTCAGTTGTTGTTGTAAGTCAAGCACTACCTCTAGTGGCTCATAGGCTGAGCTTCACAGCTCTTGAAAAAAGAAAGGTTGTGGACAGACGCAGGGAATCCTTGACTTACAACGAAAACTGGGACCAGAATTTCCATTGCAAACAAGCCGGTTGTTAAATGATTCAAAGCATTGATTCTACAATGGTTTTATCACCGTTGTTAAGCAAATCATCGAACTTGTGAAATGAATTGTGTGGTGGTTTAAGTGAATCCAGTTTCCTCCGCTGACTTTGCTGGTCAGAAGCAGGCTGGATAGGTCACAAATAATGGTCACGTGTCCCAGGGATGCTGCAACCATCATAAATATGTGCCAGTTGCCAAGCAGCTCCATTTTGATAATGTGACCCTGGGGATGCTGCATTAGTCATAAGCGTGAAGACCGGCTGCCCGTCACTTTTTCGGTGCTATTATAACAGTCAGTGCTATTGTTGACAGTTGTTAAACAAATGGTTAAAAATCGAGGATTACCTGCACTAGCAAAGCCATTAATCTGAAGAAAACCAGCAACTGCAATCTGTACATTTCAAGTTATACTCTATATCAGCACCCCACAATCTTTTGGGCACCAGGGACTGGTTCAGTGGACAGACTTTTCCGCAGATCTGAGGGGGGATGTTTTCATGTGCTACCTGCATCCCACGTTTAGGGCTTCTCTTGTTTGTGCGGCCTTTTCTAGCATGCCATGGTCTGGTACAATCTGCAGGCATTGGGGACCCTTGTTCTGTAGGGCAGATGCAAGGTTCAAATCCACTTTTATCCCCATCCAGGCATTGCAACAGCCTGAGAGCCATTCACTTTTCAACAGAGAAAGCAGTTGAGCTCTGTCCAGTAATACTGTAATGGACCAATCTGGCCTCAGGTCCTTTGCTTGCTACTAAGACCTTACAGTCCCCGTTGCAAATATTAACAAGGTTTTGTCTCATTTTGTTTCCAACCCCAGACTAGGTGGCTGCTTATATCTCAAAGAGATGCCCCTTTAACTGAGATGTTGTTGCTTTGTTTTTAGTATCTGTAAGCCTGTTTTGATTCCTGGTGGCCACCTGGACCACTCCATGCAGGGGGTTTTTGGTAGCATCTTTCAGAAGTGCTTTTCCACTGCCGTCTTGAGTGCCTAGCCCAAGGTCACCCAGCTGGCTTTGCACCCTAAATCAGGACTAGAACTCCCAGCCTCCCCGCTTCTAGTCTGGTGGCTTTAATATTATGCCAGAGGAGTCCAATCTTGTCAACTTTAAGACCTGTTACAGGCAGAATTCTGGGGATTGAAGTCCATGGGTTATGAAGTTGCGAAGGTTGGAAATCCCTGTACTGCAATGGCCCCCAACCTTTTTTGTGCCTTGGCCTGGTACCGGCATCACAAAATCATCTGCAGCCCGGTACTGCCATCACAAAATCATCCGCGGCCCGGTACCAGCATCAGCACACATGGCAAGGCAAGGCGAGCGACCGGCCAGCCAGCTGTCCCCCGCTTCTCCCCGCCACCTTCAGCTCCTCCTTTGTACCTGTGTCAATGGGCTTCGCGACGGCTTCGCGACAGTCGCTCGGCTCGCCTTGCCATGCATGCTGAAAGAATCCTCGTGCCTTAGTTTTGTTCGAAGCCGCCCCCCCCCCCATCAAACGCCAGCGCCCCGATTCTTTCAGCACCCAAACGCCACTTTCTGGTTAGAAAGTGGCGTTTGGGTGCTGAAAGAATCCTCGCGCCTCATCAGAGCAGCTTACCTTTTATCCCGTGAAATTTTCAAGAGTTTTCTTTGTGCTTTTCTCAGTTCTTCTTGGAAACATTCTTGCTCCTGAGAATTTATTTAAAAAGGCTAAGTATAAGTAAGGAAACAGTTTATTAAATAAATCCCCAGACCATTTTAAGTACTCTAAGAGTAATAACAATACATAGGTACTTTAAAAGGAGACATTATTAAAATCTGAACATATTTCAGGCATTAAAATCTAAATCTAAAATCTAAACAATACCATTAAAATACCATCTGAATCTTTGTAACATAACACTTTAAAATGATTAAGAAAATATAGATTAACCCATCTTGTCAGTCTCCTAGGAAATAGAAACATGACATAATTATTCATGTTAGGCAGAGTCTAACATATGGTCCTCAGCTTTCAACCATTTGTTTAGTGACCATTCATAGTTACAACTGCACTGAAAAAAAGTGACTGATGACTGTGTTTCACATTTACAACTGTTGCAGCATCCCCTGGTCACGTGATCAAAATTCGGACACTAGGCAACTGGCTCGTATTTACGATGGTTGCAGCATCCCTGAGTCATGTGGTCCTCTTTTGTGATGTTTTGACAAGCAGAATCAATGGGGAAGCCTGATTCACTTAACAACCTTGTTACTAACATAACAACTGCAAAGATTCACTTAACAACTGTGCTAAGCAAGAATGTAAAATGAGGCAAAACACATTTAACAACTGTGTTACTTAGCAACAGAAATTTCAGCTCAGTTATGGTTGTGACCTGTATTCCCTTTCAACCTTGCTGCCTTAACTGCAAAAGTAGCAACTCACTAGTTCACAAAATGGATAGAAGTTTGTAGGAGAAAATTCAATTTACTTCCAACATTCCCTCATATCAAGTAATGGGGATCAATAAATGTTTAACATACAACCAGCATTCCAATGGTATCTTCTATCTCACTCGTCCATATGCACAGAGTCTCTAGGATCTGGAAAGATTAAGTGAGTGCCAGGAATCACCGCAGTCAGTCGCCACCCCTGGTTCCATTCTTCCTCTTTGGGGAGTAGATCCCCTCCATAAACATAATGTAAACAGGCAAGGCAAAAATTGCTGCTTTTCTGAGCCATCAAATAGCGGCAAATTGATAATTGTTTACGTTTCAGTTCTTGGTCAGATTTTGTATTCCTGCCTGAGTTGACTCCCTTGTTTATTATAAGTAGCCCTTCATTTACAACCAAAATGGAGCCTGCCCATTACAACTCTGAGTCATAGTGCAGGTCACCAGGTGACCAGCCTGTTTTTGTAGCTTTTTTGCAGCTGTCATTAAGCAAATCCATTGTTCGTTGTGGGCCACTTCTTGCCAAAAACTGGAAATAAATGCAGTTCAGGCAAAAACATAATAATAGTCATATAACCATGGGTACTGCAAATGGCCATAAATGTGAGCCAACTACCTAGTGCCTAATATGCTCTCCTGTGACAACCCTCAACAAACCAGAATCACTTTCTAAGTAGCCTTGAGAAGGCCTGTCCCTAACTTTGAACAGTCACTAAGCAACCACTCATAAATTGAGGACTACCTGCATCATCAATATAATATGATTATTCATGTTACCTTTTCACAGTAGAGTATTGTTTTGTAAATTATTTCCCTATAGGCAGAATTGCTGTTTTAAGAAAACAGCTCTTTAATGTGATAACACAAATTGGTTGTATGGGGACACATTCTTCCCAAATTTTTAGGGCTTTGTGAGGGCAAGTAATCCCAGCAATCTGCAAGGCAGATTGGTATTATTATCCCTTTTATACTACTGCAAATTTGACAGACAAGGCTCTTATGGCACAACGATGTTTGCTTAATGTTGCCTTAGCATATCATGTGAATCCAGTTATTGTGGTTTGGAAAGCAGGGTCTAGGACCCAAATGGGCATCCTGTGGGACTAACCCCCATTTCTTGCAGTCTCCTCAAATTATGTAGCCTGTTAGCTCAGGGTTTCTCAACTTTAGCAACTTTTAAGATATGAATAAAATACAATTGCTGGGTTCACCTAACATGTGATGCTTGAGCAAACAGTAATAGTTTACCAGAATGGTCAGCAAAGTAGTCAGTCACAAATTGTAGATGTGTATGTTACACGCTGATCTGTAAAAGCTAAAGTTACTTGGATTTGACTAATAGGGCTATATGGAGAGACACAAACTCCAAAGCACATCCCAGAATTAGGCAAGGGCAAATTATTTCTGCTCCCACCAAAACAACCTAAGTCAGTTCAAACCTGAGCTTCTGGAGCTGTGTTTCTTAACCTTAGCAAGTCTGGGGACTTCTGGGAATTGAAATCCACACATCTTTAAGTTTTCAAGATTGAGAAACATAGAAATTCACAGTTAAACATGTATATGCCTTCTTATGTACCCCTGGGCAAAATAATAGCAATAGTGCTTAGACTTATATATCGCTTTACAGCCTTCTGTAATAATTATTTTATAATATTCATCTGGAAGGTCTTGTCTCTCTGATCACCCTCATCTCACTTGTCATCACACCTCTATTTACTCAACATCCACAAATATCAGAATCTCTTTAAATGTCTGGGAGGCATGCGATCAATATGATTTTTACCATTTATTCTTTCTTGTAAAACGCCCCTTGTTATGCTTACCCACCCACCCCCATGCCCAGGTCTCCCTAAAATATTTGCTCCTCCAACCCACCCCCTTTCTTTCTGCCAGCACCGAGTCCCTCCCACCCCCGAAATTCCCGGCCGCTTACATAAATCAGGAATTTGAGTCTCCTTTTTAAGGCTCTATAACGCCTCTTGTAGCCCCCGCCGCCCGGATCCGGCTCTCCCGCTCCGTTCATGCCCAGCTAGGGAAGTAACGTGGAACAGGAACCGCGATTCAAAGCTAGAGTAGAAAAACTACATTTCCCGGCATGCTTTGGAAAGCGGGCACGTGGATAACTCAGAAATACATCTCCCAGCATGCACTGTGAGGAAAAGAACCAAGGAGTCGGGGTGAAATTTTTCAGCGTTCCTGCTTTATTTTTTATCCTACCCACATTGCCTGCATTCTTTTGCCCATCTCTTTGCTTCACTTATTGGTTTCAGTTAATTTACTGCAATCTTACTGTAATAAAAAATTACTGTAATCTTACTGTAATAATTCCAGGTTGAGGAATGTTATGTACCAATCTTGCATTCATATGGAAATTTGGAGATATAATCAATATAATACAAAGCCAGCTTAGAAGAACGCTATAAATAGTATAGAACAGCAGTCACCAACTGTGGGGTCCATGGACCACTGGTGGTCCTCAAGAAAAATTTGGTGGTCCACAGAAAAATTATTTGCATTTTTTATATTGCACTAAATCAGGGGTCCTCAAACTACGGCCCCTGGGCCAGATACATGCAATGAATGTTTGTGTTGCTGCAGAGTGTTTGGGGTCTTTTTGTGCAGGTTGGAGGTGGGCAGAACTTCCGACTTGGGGTCTCTTCAGCCTCCTGGTGAGGGGCTTTGGATGAAGGCTGGAGGGAAGTGCCTCTGGTGATAAAGAACCGGAAGGCCTTGTTCCAGTGGGACTGCATCATGGCCTGGAACTGGCTGACCATCTCAGTCTGCTGAGCCTTCAGGTGCCGGTATCTGGCCTTGCACTCCTGCAGGCCTTCCCTCTGCTGGAAAGCCTATGCTCGTAGTCCTTAGTGAGGTGCTTCTGTTGAGCCTCCTTCTCAGTCAGATCCAATTTGAACTGTGCCAGCTGTTTTGCCAACTCTTTCTCGTGGTGGCTGCTTAGCTCCAACAACTGCTTCTTGTTGGAGCCCTAAGTAGCTCAGGTGGGCAGGCAAGGAGTGACATTGAGTTGGCCATGCCCACCCAGACACAGCCATGGCCACCCAGCCAGTCATTAGGCAGATCATGTTAGTGATCTGCGGGATTTAAAATTATGAATTTAGTGGTCCCTGAGGTACCAAAGGTTGGTGACCCATGGTATAGAACATTTCTCCCATCAAGTTCACTTTTGCCCCCAAGTCTGGAAGATTAGCTGCAATAGTTGTGCTATTGGTTTCATCTTAAAGGGAATTAACTTGCCCACTTTGTTTGCAATGTGACCATTTATTTGTTTTACATTTTTGCAGCTCAACCAAATCAAACTGGGCAGGCATAGTAAAATACAAACACAATGATAATGCAGTAATAAATAACCTTATTTTTAAAAATTCAAGGCTAGCAAATAAAGCAGCAACTATCAAATAATTTATTGTTATTGTTGGAAGAAATATCCATCTGGTTCAGTTCCAAACTGGGAGAAAGACACTGATCCAACGGAGGCTGATTGTAGAGAGAGGTTTATTGATGGAAGCAGAACCACGTGTGATTCTGGGCAGCTGACAAAATGGAGTTGAGAGTGGGTGGGCTTTTATACCTTCTTTGAGCTTTGTATTTGAGCTTCCTGTTCAAGAACATTTCTTTTAATATTCTATTGGCTGTTGTCAGATTCTTATATGGGTCATGTAAGGGTTATGTAAGGGTTATAGCTGGCTCTATAGGCAAAAAGAGAAATGCAAATCCTAGGTGCTTGTGAGCTAATCTGGTCAACCTCTTGCTTATTATTTATCCAAGCTCCCAGGTTTCTGTGACTTTGAGGTTTGGACTGCTCTGGGGATGGTGCAATTAAGAGGCTTGTATTCTGAAAGGGTGCTGGGCAATTCCTATTGTGGCTAATGGCTTTTGTCCTGTGTTGGATCTTGGGTGAGGGGCTGCTTTCTAATCCTACCATTCTGCCAAGGAGTTTCAAAATATCCTGTCTTGAAATGGATTTCTGCCTGCAGTATGCTTTGCTTATGAATAGAGCTATCTAGATACTTTTCTTCCTCTTTCAGTAAACTCTTTATCTCTTAAGTGCTGGCATCTGCTGTGGGCTATTAAGAAAGACTTGGGGGCTGCTTCCTGCCTCTGAAACATATTTCTCCTTTAAGAAAATATAATACTCTTGTCTTTTTTAATATTTACCAAAATATTTCTTCTGGGGTGAAGGCTTCCCACATTATTTAGCATATGATGAGAACATGATAAAAGAAGCAAACACAGTCCACATAAGTAAAACTTCTATGGGGTATGGCAGCGACCTCATAACTGGATATCCAATTTAGCTATCTAGGCAATCACCTCTAGCATTGCTTCATGTAGATCTTCTAGATCTAGAGAATGCACAATATAATTAATAGTTTGCATAGCAACACCACAATCACAATTTGTGGGAAACTCTCATCCCCAACCCCAGAAGAATGAAATATTTTGAGGAATATTAAAAAGGCAAAATATTATATGTCCCCAAAAGGAGAAATGGAGAAACATGCTCTTAAGTCAGTCTCCCTGTCCCCAAGTACAAGATGAAACTACATTACCCAAGAAGTCTACAAGGCAAGCCCTCCGCCCTCATTGGCTCACAGATGATCTCCCGTGAGCCCGTGGGGTAAAGTGCTCGCTCTTGCGCATTCCATTTGTTCCCTTTGTCGGCTACGCCTATTTAGGCACCGATATGACTCCCCATTGCTAGGAGACGTTGCCAAGGGAGAGGTTACATTGGCCGGGAGGTGCCATTTGGCGGGAAAGGATGGCAGAAGTCCCTGCTGAGCAAAAGATGCGGGATTTTGTCTCCAGGGTTTTCGAGGGAAGCCCGGATATCAGGTGCGGCTCAGACTCCGGGTTGTCCTTAGGAGCGGAGGGTGGGAACTGAAACTCCTTAAGCCGAGATTGAGGGTTACTGAGCAGAACGCAATACCTCCAGACCCGTTTGCCCCTGCAGGTTAGCCGGCAGTTCACAGCCTGACAGGCTGTGAATTATGGGTGATGTAGTGTCCCATATGGCTGGAGGATGCCAACTAGGAGAAGCAGAAGTACGGTAGTGTTTGGAACTCGGGGGCGGTTCCCCCCCCTCCAGCTCTCAATCCTATCTCCCTAAAGCCAATGGGGTCTGGTAATTAAGGCACCAGGCTTGAAAGCAGGAGAGCCTAAGTTCAAATCCTGCCTTAGGCATGAAAGCCAGGTGGATGACCTTTTTTTTAGGCCAGTCACTCTTTCTCTCCCCAATCCACCTCGCAGGGTGGTAGTTGTGGGGAAAATGGGAAGAGGAACTTCGTGTTTGCTACCTTGAGCTCAGGGCTGTCTTAATAGCGTCAGGGGGTCCCGGGTAAAAGTGTACTGGAGTCTATGATAACTACTCACACGAATAAAAATTTAAATGGTCGATAAAATTAAACATTTGCATAATATATGTATAAAAAAATTATATGATGCAAAGTGCATTGAAGGGTTAACATACACAGTATGGGGCCCCTATGCTCATGGGGACCACAGGCAAGTGCCCATCAGCCCTGCTTGAGCTGTTTGTAAAAATAATAATAAAGGGATGAAAAATAAATAAAATAGCCTTTTGGCAACCAGTGATGAAGATAAGCATCACCTTGGCATAACAGTTTTAAAAAACCACCAGTGTGCTGCTAGGAAAAAGACTTTAATTGAAATATGTTGATTCCACCTCCTGGGTGGAAATTGTGATCCCTGGATGACAACATTGTACAATCCTCTTATCAGCATGTGTTTCCTGGATAATTTACAAAAGGAGAATCGAAGAATTGCATCTTTGAAGAAGCAGCTTAAATAGGAGAGCAGATGTAGGAGATTTTAGAAAATCCTGGACTTCAACGACAAATTTGGGTGGCGTATAGATATGTATTTGGGTGGATATGCCTGTAGATAGAAATTTGGGTGAGCCCCAGCTTGTGGCCTATAGATGTTCAGAACATCTCTCTCATTGAATATTATGGGAAGGTGGAAAAAGTTATTTCTGGAGGATCATAGATTCCCCATCCTTGCTCTTCTTAATACATACCATATAAAGGCATATTGTGTGGTTACTTAGCAGATGTTGTCTGATGTTATCATTGTCTGTTGCAGCATCCTCACTCATAACATCATTCAGAAGAATTATCTTGACCATGTTGGGCTGAAAAAACTATCCAAACAGGAGAAGAAGCAACTCAAACACCTGGTAGAGGAAGAATTGCTCCAGATGAAGGTGCTGGTTTTAGAAAAGGAGAAAATATACATGTTATGTCTTGATAAAGAATGAAGTGGACCCATGTTTATACCTTTTTTAATGTTATGTATCACAGGTTGATCAACCTCCAAGCAATGTAGAATTAAGGACTGAAGCTCAGGAGTCCATCAACCACAACAGACCCATTCCTATTTCCTTTAGATCAGAGGATGAGATTGAAAATGAAAAGAAGCAGAAAAGGCAAAATATTGAAAAGAAATTAGGTAATTGTATTTTTATGTGATTGTGCTTAGGACGTACTATCCAATACATCACTGTTTTTTGAATTGGGAGAAACTAAATGTAAACTGGGCTTTACAGTTTTTTTCAAATTTTGGTAAATGTTCATGAAAAATGGCTTTCCTATCTTTTTTCTGCAGCTGTAAAGAAATCTATGATACATGGTTTAATGAAGATACAGAAAGGATAACAGGTAGCAGGGACTTCCCCATGAGAAAGGATCACAGCAGTTGAGGTTTTTATTTCTTATACTGAAGCGAAATGAAGAGAAACACCAGAGAGATATAATATCATGCATGGTAAAGAACAGGGCTCATCAACCTTTTGGGCCTCAGGGACCACCAAACTCATAATTTTAAATCCCAGGAGCACTAACTGGTTCTGTGGGTGTGGTGTAATTTGTAGGTTAGGTTTGGTGGTCATGTGACTGGCTGGGCATGGCTTGTATATAAATATAAATATATAAATATTGAATTTTTTAATAAAACTTTTTTTACCCAAAATCAGGCAAAGTAGGCAGGTAGAGTGAGTTGCTCACAGAATCACAGATTCATTCAGAAATCTATCTGCTATTGGCTAGCTCAGTCTCTCACATAAAGTTTGCTAGCAAGCAACCTCACAAAATTAACTCAAAACAAACCATGTATGTAAATATTGAATTTTTTTATTAAAAAAGAACAACATTTACCCAAAATCAGGCAAAGCAAGCAGGCAGATTGAGTTGCTCACAGAATCATTCAGTGATCTATCTGCCATCAACTAGCTCAGTCTTTCAAATTTGCTTGCAGTGAGTCTGCACTGAATAATAGAACCTTCAGTCCTAAGGGAGGTTGGCTGTGCTTAAAAGCAAAGCCGAAGATCTAAAGACTAGCTAGAAAGCAAGAAGTCCAACCATTTCCTGCTTCCTAGCTAATCTAAATCTCCCGGCACAGCAGAACAGATGATGGTCGGAAAAAGGAAAAATAGGAATTTTGCTGGGTAAGTAGTGAGTGGGCGGGGGAGGATTTCAGCGGCCATGTGGGCTGTGCAGCCTTGTGTTTCTCTACAGCCTGGATTAATTGCTTTGGGGGAATGCTCTGGGGGTGAGATTTCTCTGCAGCCCACCAAAATTTTCTAATGGCTCTCCAGTGGGCCACACCAGTTGGCAACTGCTGGTGTAGAATATGTAGATATTTTTTATTCCTCCTAGAGCTCATTGCAGGAAATACGACTTCAGCAACAGAGTGGTCAATGTCTGGAATACTCTACCTGACTCGGTAGTTTCTTCCACAAACCCCCAAAACTTTAACCTTAGACTGTCTACTATTGACCTCACCCCTTTCCTAAGAGGTCTGTAGGGGGCCTGCATAAGCGCACCAACGTGCCTACCGTCCCTTTTATTTCCCTTTTATTTATTTTGTTTCTTTTATTTTTCTTATATGTACCATTTCATGTATTCATAACTATGTATATACTTATACCTATTATCTTGTAAGCAATTGACAAATCAAATTATATATACACACACACACACACACACACACACACACACACATGTATACATACATACATACATACATATATACATATATATATATATGGCATTCAGCTTTGTTCAGGTATTTTCCCATGTCATTGTAGTTGAACTTTTAAAGTTGTAGCGACGTTTCAGCAGAATCTCATCTGCCATCATCAGGCTTCTGTATAATGTTCATCTGTGAGTCAGGCTTTTACAGTAGTTTCAGATTTAAATTTGGGGCAGCCTATTGCTGTGCCAGAATGGTTTTTTCTTCACCCTGATTGGTTGGGAGTCTTTGTCTGTGTTTATTGTCTTGGAGTTTGCTGGGTTCTGCTTGATTGGTGTTTCTAATATCTTCTGTCTGTTTTGTGGCTCTTTTTGTATCTTGATTGACTGGCAACATTGTGTTACTTTATTGGAGGCCTTTAGTGCAGCTTGGCTCAGGGTAAATGGA